CTTGTAATCCATACGAACACTTTTGAAGAAAATTTAATTATATGCCAAAGTAGAGATGAAAAGATAACAAAGGTAAAGAAAGAGTTAGAGCTAAATGAGAGTAGCCACTATGAGATGAGGAACGGAATAGTTTTTAAAAAGAAAGACAAAGATTTACTTTTTACGTACCTGAGTCAATGGAGCGACATGTTATGTATAAATATCACGATGAGATGGGGCATCTAGGCGTAGATAAAATTGTACAAACGATAGGTAAAAGTTACTGGTTCCCGAGTATTAGAAAAAAAGCAAGCTACCATATTGAAAACTGCTTGAAGTGTATAGCATTTTCAGCTTAAAGTGGTAAGAAAGAAGGACTACTACATATGATACTAAAGGGAAATACCCCGTTTGAAATGGTTCATATCGACCATTACGGTCTAATTCAAAGCAAGTGTACAAGGTACAAACATATATTAGTAGTTATAGATGCGTTTACAAAGTTCGTTCGTCTCTACCCTTCAAAAACTACGGCATAGAAAGAACCAAAATTCATATGTGATATCTTCGACTAAAGTAGTATCGATTTTAGGTATTAGATGAAAAAAAAACATTTAAATTTTTTGAGTTTATAGAGGAATCTGAACTTTGGCCCTATGCGACACGGCTTAACCGTCTCGAATCTGGACCAAAATTAAGATGTGATATCTTCGACTATGGAGGTATCGATTTTAGATATAAGATGAAAAAAATGTATTTTAATTTGTTGAGTCTCTGTGGAGGAATCTGAATTTTGCCCCCTGTGGTACACGGCTTAACCGCCTTCAATCGGGACCAAAATTTATATGTGATGGCTGTGACCGTGGTATTACCGATTGAGGGAGTGAGACTGAAAAAAATCGTTAATTGGATTTTGAGATCCACCCTAAGTACACATTATAACATTAATATAGAAAGGCCCTAACTATTTTCTTTCGAAATTCAGTTCTGCACAAAAGACGGTAGACTACTCACCAAAGACTTAATTAAACCCAAATTCTGAAAAAATAAAGAGGACTTAAAATGCTTTATAAATAGAACATTTATATGAAAATTTATTAAGCTCTTTAAATCTGTTTTATTTTTATGAATAAAGCAGGGATCAGACGATTTGTACATTTGTACATTTGGCCTTCACAGAGTGGTGTGGTCTAGAAATGTTTTTTTTTATGAGATCAGTTCAATAAAAAAAAACAAGCCATTAATCGAAT